AACGCTCTGAATCGCGTCGATCGTGGAACGACCCTGCTGGAACCCGAATTGGCTGTCACTGAGGTCGGGACCCGCGCCCGATAAGTGCTGTCAGGGACAGGCAGCCAGAATGCGCTCGTAGAACTTGCCCGCCTCGTCGAGCAAGCATATCGGCTGGTATGCCTTCGGAGAGCCCGGCGGTCTCCCCGGTTTGGGGATAAGTACGATCTTCGCTCTCTTCCAGAACACCGGGAAGCGACCGGACCTGAGGCAGCTGTCGAACAGCCGTCTCACTCAGACGCCGCACGTCTCGTGGCCAGTGCAAATGCTCAGCCCGGGATGCCGTCCGGTCCGGGGGCGGTGCTCCTCGTCCCCATCCTATCGACCACACGTTCCAGCTCCTTGCGCGACACCTCCAGCTCGACGGCCTACACGACCAGGTCCGATCGCGCTGCGACGGGTTGCACCCTCTCCTCCGCCACCACCGGGAAGAGGGTGCCGATCACCCGACGCAGGAGCTCGGGGTCCATACGCTCGGTCAATGGCGGTGCCCAAGACCTCAATTTCCCCATAACCAATTTATAGGGGCGCCCTCACGGATCGCTATCGAGCGCCGCGAGTAGCTCGTCCCATTGCCGAGGTTTGGCTCTACGGATTTCCCTCCGGAGATCACCCACCGCGGACAGGTATTCGCAGTGGAGACGCGCAATTTCCTCGGCGCACCCCTCGCGTAGTCGCCGTCGCGCCCGAGTGTACCGGTGGCGGGTGAGCACGCACAGCTAGTGGAGCTGCGCGATTTCGCGCGACCACCAGCACACGGCCCCCTTCGTCGGTGGCGCCCTTACCCGCGGCACGGCGACGTCGCACGCGCGCGTCCTCGCCGCCTGTAGCCGTGATATCGCGCCCGATGCCCCCCTCTAACCAGGCAAAGACCTGCGCGGCCGCGGAAAAAACATCGCGGTCGAGGCGCCCGTGCCCAAATCTCGGCGTGGTGGCACGCTTCCCTCCGCTGGTGGGGGTCCCCGACTGCAGCGAGGAGTGACGACTAGCATCATTGTGATATGGAAGTGGTCTCTGAGCGTTTCCACCTGCACCGCCACCCTCCAGTGGGTGACCCGACGCACTGCGGCCGGCGACGCGAACGACAGGTCCACGATGGACTAGCCATTCCACCGGATGCACGTGCTTACGGATCCCCGGTTGAGCAACCGGAGATCCAATCCCGCGACCCAGCCAAGCAGGGCCTCGCCTCTAGTGTCTGCTCGAGGGGAACCCGAAGCCGCGGGGTGGGCGTTGAAGTCCCCCAGGACAAGAACCGGACGAGTCAGGTGTCCGTTAAGGAACCTCACGAGCTCGTCCAGGTACCCCTCGCATGACGAGTGGTCGCGGTTGTGCAAGAAGTAGCACCCCACCACGACAACGTCGTTCCAGGAGACCGCCAAGGAGCCTCATGCCGCTGTGGAGCAGCGTGGGAGTGGATGTTCGCGGCAGCCCCCTGGCACCAATAGCCATGTAGCCATCCCCATCCCCAAACCACTCGTCTTGGTCCGGGACGCGGTATGGCTCGGCGACAACAGCCAACGCAGCGCCCAGTTCCCCGTACGTCTGCAGGAACAAGTCGTGAGCCGCCCGCGCGTGGATCAGGTAGGCCTGGAGCACCATGGACGGCGTGTTAATTATTGCGCCGGGTCCATGACCTCCCCCTGGCTCCCCCTATGTCAGGCCGGATGCGGGCCCGGTGCTCCGCCGGTCGGCGGGCCTTTCGATGTCGCGGTCGCGGAAACGGAATTGTTCGCGGTCGCGGGTATCGATTTAGCGCTCGCGGGCGTAGACACGGACGCGGTACCGGCCGGCGCCGGGCGGGCCACCCACTTCGCCTTTGGCGGGCAGCACGCCTTGTTGCGCAGCCGGTGGTCCGAGGGACGAGGCAAAGACCGGGCACCTGGGTGCCGGCGCGCGGCACCCCACGACGCTTTGTCCCGCAGCGCCGCACCTGAAACAGGCCTCGCTGAGGACCACCGCGAGACACGGGTCTCCGGCCACGAGCATTACCGCACAGCACCCTCACACTAAAACACTCCGGAACCCGCGGAAAACACTCGATGCGGGCGAAAAAATTGGACGATGCAGGAGCGTCACGAATACGTCCGTCTTCCACGAGGACTACCCATCGACCGTGTTCTGTGGCGCCCTGCTGTTCTTTGCTGCTGGGTTGACATTGAGCCCCCGGAGCGGCTAATCCTTTCCGGCGTTGACCATTTGGGTTGGACTCGCGGGGGCAGAGACGCCGGCGTCTCGGCGGGTGAGCTGTGTCTTTCCAGCTCGGGTGCCGGCCTGCAGAGCCGGCAGGGATGTTAGAAACGTCCCGCCCACACCAAGGGTTATCTGTGGAGCTGGAACTCCTGCGTCGATTGGTAGTTACCGTTGAGTATTCTCCGGTAACGCGCTGATTGAGCGTATCTCAACCCCGCGTCCATGGGGGCCGTGTTGTGAATCCCTCGGGGAACGTACATCACGTTAAATCAACCGACACTCGTTGTACTTTGCTGCTATCTGCTGCGGTGGCGATGCTGTTCATTACGGTCCTGTTGAGAACAGGGCTAGTCTGTGTTATTCGGCGCTATTCTCCGCTCGGCTGTGATCTGCTGTATTCCCCTGCGATATGATATGCTCTACTGCACTCTGTTTCGCTCTGTTGCTATGTGCTGTAGTGGAGGTACTCTTCGCTGCCGTGCGGTCCTAAGCAGTGATAGTTAGTACTACACGGTGGTACCTGGAGCGTTAATGCGCTCTGCAGTGCTCTGCTATGATTCGCAGCTCCCTGTTTTGCACTCCGCAGTGCTGTGGTGTGGGGGCTGTGCTATTCCGTGCGGTATTGTCCAAACCTGTGATAATCTAACGTATTCGTCGATGTGCTGTGCTCTGCTGCCCATTGCTGCGCTCTGATGCGCCCTGCTGTGCTACGTTGTGGTTGCGGAGCTATATGGTGTGTTTCTGTCCTTAGCATTGCCAATTTGCTTTACTCGGTGATGTCTGGCACATCTCTGACGTGATGGCGATGCAATTCAGTTCTGAGCTGTCCTAAGTAGTGCTCATGCGTGCTATTCACGGCTATTTGGCGCTCTGCTGTGTTGCGCCGCGCTCCGCTGTGCCCTGGTGCAATCTGCAGTGGTGGCGTCGCAATTCGGTGGTGTGCTGTTCTAAGCGGTTCTAATCTGTGCTTTTCAATATTATTGGGTGATCTATGGTGCTCCTATGTGCTCTGCCGTGCTCTGCCACGCGATACTGTGCCCTGCTGTGCATGCGATGCTATTTAGCCGCGTGCTGTCCTATTCAGTGCCGATTTATGCTCTATGGAGTTATTCGTCGCTTTGCTGTATTCTGCTGCGCTATGCTGTGCTATGCAGTGGTGTAAGTACTATTCTGCGTTTTTCGACGTTAGTCGGCGATTCATTGTGCTCTGTTATGCTAAGCGGCGCTCTGTTGTGATCAGTTGTGCTCCGATATGGTAGCGGTGCTACTGGATTCCTAGCGCAGCAGAGCGCAGCAGAGTTCAGCAGTAGACAGTAGAAACCCGAATAGCACCGAATAGCACATATTAGAACTGCTTGGGGCATTCATGCACCGAAACATATCACCACCACAGGAGAAAGCAGCAGCTCGCAGCAGAGTACAATAGAGCGCCGAGTAATACCGAACAGCACAGATCAGCTCAGCTAAGAGCAGCACCCAACCCAATTCTTGCGCCACTCGCAGAACACCGCAGAGCACAGCAGGGGTCCGATTTGCAGTGCAGAGATTTGTAGACATCACTCTTAGGCATCTGAATTATAGCACCGCACCTGCAGAGAACAGCGGAGCACGGCAGAACGCAGCAGAGGGTAGCAGAGCGCAGCAGAGAACAGCAGCGCACAGCAGCGAGACGAATAGCACCGTATTGTACAAGTTGGCACTACATGGGAGAGCACCGCACCATATAGCAACGCCACTACTGCTGAGCATAACGGTACGCTGCAGGGCCCTGGTGAATGCAGCAGGGCACATTGGAGGATAGTAGAACGTAGCACAGCGTAGCGGAGCGCAGTAGAGAAGAGCAGATCGCAGCAGTGCGCCAAATATCACCCAATAAAATATCACCGTCTAGATAACAGAGCACGGCAGAACGCAGCAGAGCGCAACAGAGAATGTTCGAGAACAGAAGAGTGTCGAGTAGCAGCGAATAGTACACATTAGCACTGCTTATGGCATTACCATAATCAATAGCACCGTCATAACAGCAGAGCGTAACAGAGTGCGTCAGACAACAGTTGAGGAATGTAGATCCCAGAAAACCATCGAATAGCACACATTAGCAATACTTTGAACAACACCGCACCGAAAATCACAGCTTCCAGAGCACTGACAAGCAGGTCCTAGCGGTGTAGAACACAGCACAACAGTAGAACGCCGAATAGTATCGGATCACATAGACTAGCACTGCTTAGCGCAGCACCGCCACAGCGGCAGCGTGCAGCGGAATGCAGCAGAGAGCAATCAAGTTGAGCCGAGTACAGCAGAGAACTGCAGAGCGTAGAAGACCACAGGACAAGATAGTGCAACTGTCACTTGCTTTTTACTTCTTCAATGGACCAGATCTCCATTTCGATAAACTAAAGTACCACTGAATGACTTGGCATCCCTAGTGCTGTCCCATGAAGCATCTGTGTTACAATTTAATCCTTTCTTCTGGTTTGTGTTCCCATATTCCATTTGGTAATTTATTGTCCCTTTCAAATATCGGAGTACTCTTTTCAATGCGTTCATTTGCAGTGTTCTTGGATTCTTGCTAAATTGGGATAAACAACTCAGTGCAAAAGAAATATCGTGTCTCGTTGATACGCTTAGGTACATTAATCTTCCTAGTAGCTCTTGATAACTTTTCTTATCACTCACCGGGCTGCCATCATCTTCTCTCATTCCACGCTTGACGTTTCTGTAATGATTCTATTTCACTCTTTATTGCTTCTATCCATTGATCCCATTCAGGAGTTTGTCGTGCCTCTGTTATCGTAATAAGAATTTTTTTCTTCAACACTTTTCATTGCTTTTTGATTTTTAATCCTTGAGGATTTTCTTACGTTTCTTTGTTCATCTAATTTTTCTTGTTCACGTCTTCTCAGATACTCTTTTACTTTAATTACTTCCTTCGTCACATTCTTCGGTCTTCCAGCCTCTTTGCTTGTTGTCGGTTCCACTTGTTCAATAGTTATTTCTTGATTTTCATTATTTTTCTCTACCCTCGTATCTTCATCATTGTCAATTTCAATTCTTGCATCGTCATAATCGCTGCTTTCTTCATCACTGTCACTTTCCTCGGCATCCATTCCAATTCTTAACTGTCTTTCGTCTTCAATGTCTTCTTGAGGAGCCTCGTTAACGTCTTCATCTTTTTCTACATCTAAATTAACAGGAATTTGTTTTTCATTATCTTCATCTTTACTTCCTTTGTATCGAAGCAAGTCCGTTCCGTTTCATTCTTCATCAAATCTCACGTCACGGTCGCACTTTATATTTTTTGTTTCTGGTATGTATATCCGGTATGTATTATTTTCGTTATATCCCACGAAGTTTCCTTTTAAAGCCTTTACGTCAAATTTCTTCTTACGTTCTCCTTTATTTATTAAATACGCTATACACCCAAATCGTCGCATGTGCTTTATGTTAGGTTGCTTTCTGTACCAAATCTCATATGGTGTTTTATAGTGTACGCGCGATTTAATCCGATTTCGAATGTATACCGCTGTATTCGCTGCTTCTCCCCAAAAAATAAGACTTAATTTTGAATCTACTAATATCGTCCTGGTTGTTTCGATGATCGTAATGTTCGCTCTTTCTGCAATTCCGTTACATTCAGGTGTCACCGGAGGACTCAATTCGTGAATAATTCCTTTTAAATCAAACCAGTTCTTTAATTCTTTTCCTAAATATTCCTCATCATTGTCTGACCTAATCCTCTTCAATCGTAGTTCCGTTTGATATTCCTTTAATTTTATTATTCTTTCTAATTCTTCAGCAGCTTCACCTTTATCCCTTAGAAGTTGTATAAACATCATTCTCGAATAATAATCGACGATACTTACTATGTAATTTTTCTTTCCATAAGACGAGGGTTTGATTGTACCTATCTAATCTGTATGCCACAGTTCTAAAATACGTTTTGTCCTTATAGCATTTTGTCGCGGATGCGGCTTTTTACGTGCTTTTCCTTGTACACATGGTTCGCATACCTTTATCCATGAACTATCCATCCCTAATGCCAGACTTTTTCTTCTCATTTCTTCTACAATTTCTTTATTTGCATATCCTAATCGTTTGTGCTGTACCTCATTTACCGTTGACACCGCCACAGTCCTCTCAAGGTTTATAGATGTCCTCACGTAGTACACATCTTGTTTTCTTACCGCGGTCATTTGAATTCCACCTAATTTGTTGTATACTATCGCTCCATACGTATTGAAATTTACATCGTAGCCATGGTGAGTTATCTTCGCTACTGAAATTAAATTGGAATTCAATTCTGGTACGTACAATTCATTTTTTAATTTTAAATTATTATTGCTAGAAGCCTGTTTGACAATGTCATTTCCGATTCTCTTCGAGGTTAACAGCTTTCCTTCGCTGTCTGCCATACTAATTCGTCGCTCTTCTTTAACAAAATTGTCACAAATTGATTCGTTATTAGTCATTCGGCTTGTAGATCCAGAATCCAATAGTCATATAAGATAATTATTATCCTCACATTCGTTTATTTCATTTCCATTTTTCTCACTCACCTCGTATAGTTTGTCTCTCTTTGAAATTTCGCTTACTCTCATTACTGCTTCTTCACGAGTGTTTAACGAGGAATCTTCTCTTCCACGATATTGTCTCACATTTCCTGCACAATAACCACCATAGAAACTTCCTCCTGTCCCTCTTCTCATTGGTGTTGCGTTTTTCTTACGTTCGCGACAATTCGCCGCTATGTAATTGAATCCCTCACAGTTGAAGCATTTTTCACTTCGATTAGAATCAGCTGCTATGTGTCCTTTGATCACGCAGTTGTAGCAATTGCTGTCTGTTCTATTTCCCTCTTTCACTTTCCTCACTGTTCCGTATTCTTTATTAGTTTTTTCTTCTTTCCTCTTTGCTCTTCTTATTTCTTCCTATTTTAATGCGAATCTTATATCATTAATAGATATATTCCTCTGCGATTCTAGTACCCTCACGTTTGGGTCATACTCGGGTCGAAGTCCTCGTAATACATACATTTTAAATTCATAGTCTTCAACTTTCTTTCCCAGTTGGATACATTGGTTCTTTAAAGCTTCTGTCCTGTTCAAGAACGTTTCAACGGTCTCTTCTTTCAACACTTTGATAATAGATAGCTCGTTAAGAGATCGCGCCTTTAATCCTTTCGTGTCCACAGCCATACCTTGCTTGATTGTTAACTATAATTTTTCAACATCTTTTATTCTATTATATCTCAATAATTGCGCCCTACTCATTGTGTTAATAATAATTGCCCTAGCTGCATGATTATTATCATCCCATTCGTCCCAATTTTTTAAATTTCTCTTCATAGTTTAATTGTCCCTCGACTGGTTTCGTTAATGGTTTTACACCAATAACTTTCTTCCATAATCGCTTTGATCGTACAATTCCTTCTATTTCTTCTTTCCATATAAAATAGTTTGAATCATCGAGCGATTCAACATTTGCGATATTCAAAGCGTCAGCCATCTTCGAAGTTTCTAGAATGTTCTTTAGTATGTTATTAATTATAACCACGATTCTCTGCTACCAATTGTCAGCGGTGGATGAAATTTTAATAACAAACAAGAAGAACAATTCTTTATTTAGTTAGAAAGATTAAAAAGGCAAGTATATCATTTAAATATAATTAATTTCTCACAGACACGTGGATCATAAATGATATGGAGAAAATTGGATGATACTATAATTACTTGCTCTGGACGGAACAAATTAAGGGTGTCCTGCGAGCGCAAAAATTATGGAGAAATGTGATAAATGTGAATGCTCGTGAACATCCAGAGGAAGGAGGATCGTAATATGAAGAAAAATTAAAAGTATGGGACGCATGAGGCGATGACATGTGTGTAGCCAGGGCAGTGACAGCCAAGACAATGAGTATGTCTCAGTTACTGGAACATACTCCTGAAATATTGTACAGAAACTGTGGCACTTGATTCGAGAGAACATGGCTGTGGATAGAGAAGAAATGAGAGTGAAAGCATTGTATGAATTGACAAGTATACGCATGAAGAGAGAAGAAGTCATCGATGAATTTATCAATAGAGCAACAGAATTGAAAAATCTGTGTGGCCAATTAGGTAATCATAGAAAGAGGTATGAAATTAAAATGTATGTCATGCGAGACCTAATGTCGGAGTATTAACAGAATGAAAGAATGTTAGAATGCCGGAGAAGTACAACATTGCGGGACATAAGATATGCTTTAAAGCGAGAATAGACCGGAAAGGACAAGAGAAGGGACAACAATGTAACGAAAGACTTTGAAGGTGTCAGGAAAGTGAAAGACAATATAAATAGTGACGTGAGTTGCTATAAATGTGAAAAAGGGAGACATAAAGCAAATGCGTGTAGTGGCAAATTAAAATGTTAGAATTGTCAGAGATTTGGTCATGCAACATATGATTATAATGAGACAAAAGGACATAGTACTCCGCGTGGTAGGGGCTACGGAGGAGTAAGTAACGATAGAAGTGGAAATGCATCTGGACGTGGCAGGCAGGATCTAATGATTATGACTACCGATGAAGTAATTATAGCTGTACATAAACAAAGGTATGAGATACCCAGCAGTTTAGAATAACATGGAACGTACAAGAATATTTGAGACACATTTCGGCTATTGAATTGCAGGTCAATAAGTCACATGACCCATGGTTCAACGATATTTGAAAAAATGGGAGATGAACAACCGATATATCAGACTGGCTGTTAAAGAGAGGAAAAGGTTAAAGTGACGAGGTATATGTGAGGATGAAATATAGCAAAAAGGGTATTGAAAGAAGGGTGAGACGAAAAAATCTGTTACATATCCCAAACTTAAATGCAAGTTTGATATCTGTTTCAAGAATCACAGACTATGGTTATAATCTCAAATCTGAAGAAGCAGTTATCTATTAATCTAAACGATTACTATTTTTAAAATTTTTTCAATCATCTTTGGAATTATTAGTAAATTATTCTTCTTTCAGTCATTCATTTAACGAATGTGGAATTTTATAATCAAATAAATGAAATTTTAATATGACAGGAAAGTGTAATGAATTAAAAATCCCAGAATATTTATATCAATCCTAAAATATATTGATTAATTTCAAGCCGATACAATTCAATTTGATTAGAACTTTTAAATATTTTTGAAGAGCTTACAAGAATTTCAATGTTGGGTATTAAAAGTGATGCAATTCCTGATCAAATAAATGAATTTAATTTATTTTGCTTATGTGCAGGTTTATAGTTTGGTCAATTTTAAAGAATTTGGTTTGGAAATCATATTTCTGTACCAATTACGTTCGAAAGAACATCGACAAAATATGTTACAAGCAGCATCAAAAGTAAAATTCAACTTATTTTGCTTATAAATTAGTTATATTTTGATGTAGCGTTAAATTGCCATTTTAAAATTAATATTAGGCTATCCTTTTCACTATTTCTAAATTATATGTCTTGTTGCGGCCCTAGGACCGCAATGTACCAAGTCAAGTGTAGGCCTGCTTTATACCTCTACTGTAAGCACCACTTGACTTGCACATGCTCAGCGAAGACTACCTCACCGCTGGAATAGACCGTGACAAGGTCTGATAAATTATCCTCTTAGACGATAGGCGTCAGATCCTAAATTGTTCAAACAACCACCATCACCGAAGGACACTGAAGTTGACTTACACACCCAATAGCGTACCAACCAATCAGAAGACATTCGATCCCAATAAAGCTACTAACAGGGCATTCACGAGGAATTCTCTCTAAAAAGTCCATCACGACGACACCAGCATCATCGCTCGAGACCTACCAACCACTCTGCCAGAAGACTGTCATCTACAGTAGGACTCTCTGCAGTTGAACACCCACCAGATCAACCTCTATCAAGTTAGAGTTGGCGGCATCCAATGCAGCATTGCCACAGCAGCATAACGGGCCTTACAACAATGTGAAACTCCACGAGCGTGCTGCAGTGCTCGGAACGCAACATTTGGTCCTTCGAGCCGGATTCGACTCAAGAGAATCTGCAACACTGTGGGCCATCGGAGCCGGATCCGAACATTTGAATCCGCAACACTTGTCATTTGAGCTGGATTCACATACTTGAATCCACATCCGGATCTCCACGCGGAATCTGAAGCAACGGTCGCGATGAACCATCGAACCATTATCTGAGCCGATTCCAGAGCCAGTGGACACCTGGAACGACAAAGCTTGACACGCATCGCAAGGGGCAAACTCAACCCCTCGAGGCCTTCTCCACTTTCCCATCGGGGAACGTTCAGCATCACGAAGCAGCTACGCCTGGTCATCATCACGTAAGATTATCGCCATCCTATCAATCCTCCGAAAACTTGCGTCAGGTTAGCATTGTCACTCGCAACCGCCGATAACACGCGCTCACTTTCTCGCAAACGCGCTAGATTCAAAAGCAAATTAACGCACTTCGCAGAATGCGTCCCGTCATGGGATGTTTATGGCGCTGAAGAAATTGGAGAAATGCGCCTCAGAATCACAAGCATGGAAAAGGACTACAGAGCACTAGAATCGTCTCTGGAGAAGCTTGAATTAACCGCGTCCAACGAGGAATTGGAGTCACGTTTCACAGAAAGTGCGGAACACGATGATACCTATCTTCATAATCTGTCTCGCACAAAAACATTGCCGCTAAATTCGACTCGCGAAACGCAGAGCCGCCGCTGACGGATTGTTAAACGACGGTCAATTCAGCATCACCGCTCGCGGTATACAAGGAGCCGCAAGTCAAGCTGTCGACTATGCAGTGGCCAACCATCTGGGGGTGTAATGAGGCATGGACGAGTTCCTGCGACGCGTTCAATGCCGCGGTGCATGACAACCCACGCTTCCACGATGCGCAGAAGCTCATATATTTGCGGTCCTGTCCGACCGGGATGGCTGCCGAAGGAATAGGATCATTAGAAGCAACCAGAGCGCAATATTCGGTTGCGTGGAATCTGTTGGAACGGCTGTACAGCGCACGATGCGTCGTATTCCAATAGGATTCAAGTGCTTTTCAACCTTCCAGCAGTCACTCGATTCAACGCAGATTCCTTAGGAGAATTGGTGGATTAAGCGACTAAACCTTATCATGCGTTACAAGCCCTAAATTAGCCATTCCTCGAGGCGCTCACGATACACGCGATAACACCTAAGTTAGATGACCGTACTCGACTGTTGTGGGAGGAACGAATGCAGAAGGAGCGTCCTCGACTTCCTACACAACTGACGGAAGTTATTAGAAACCTCGCGGCACGAAGGGTCTCAGAAATCTGGCATAATGAATACTCGTTCATTTCGTAAACCAAACACGAGCTCGAGATCACAAACGATACGCGCCCATTCCATCACCCAGATGGCATGTGCCCTTTGCAAGGGCAACCACCTCACACAAGCATTCGCGAGCATGATTAATGCCACATTAGCACTGACTTTTGCATTGGTAAGGGGAGCAAGGTTATGCACGAACTGTTTACGCGTCGGTCACGGAGTGCAAAAATGCTTGGCAAGCAAATGTAGACGTTGCAACGGACGCCTCCATACATTATTGCATGAGGAGCAGACGGGCGAGACGCAACAAGCGCATCAAGTGAACGTTTCGGCTCTCAAGGCAACCCAGGGGCGCAGAGGTTGTGCTATCCATCGTGGTCGTCTACCTTCCGGAAAATCGAAACAAACAGCTACCGTGCCGGTTACTCTTCGATTCCGGGCCACAGTCCCACCTTATTACCGAACGGTTTTCGAATAGGCAAGGCATTCCCCATCACCGCGTAGAAGTACCAGTAACTGGAATTACACAAACAACCACTTTCGTAAGGAAAGCCGTGGAAACGCAAATTCAATCGCTTACAAGCCCGTTCACAGTCGACGCGACCTTCTTGATCGTGCCACAAATCACAGAAATGCTACTACCGCGAGTGCTATATAGGACCGACATCAAAATCTCCCTCTAGCCAACACCAACTTCAACTTGCCGTCCGAGGTGGACGCATTACTAGGCGCCGAGGTGTCCTTAAAGTTATTCTGCGTCGGGCAGATTCCCACTCCGGGCAACGCAATCACGCTACAGAAAACCAAACTTGGCTGGATCATGGCAGGCAAACTCCCACATGTAAATAGTCAACAATTCACTCGCTGTCATATAGCTCGCTACGCGTTACAACGTCAGCTCACGCAATTTTTGGAGGTCAAAGGAACTCCGCGATCCTTATAAAAGTTCTTAATATTATCAATAATATTTTACAAAAATTTATTAGATTATCTTCTTTATTATAAATAAAATTTAAATTTAAGTTATTGTTTAATAAAA